AATCCAACTTTTTTAGGGGCATGTCTTACCTGCAAATAAAGGAAAAAGAGAAATATTGTTAGTAATAATAATTAATAATTTGTTTTTAAAATATATCTTATTTCATAAATCATTTAAGAAATATTTATTTATATTAAAATTGTTTTTCCCCACTTTTTCAATATAAATAAAGTCAGTAAGTGCATTTTTTTTTAATTCAATGTACCTGTTTTTTCTCTCACTCATTAATTGAATGACTGGTATTCAAATTAGACGAATCATTCATTTACGTCTTTTGAATCTTTGCGTGTCGCATTCGCTTTTCTTTTCAATTCGTCGTGGCTACTTTGTCCACCTTGTTGATGTTGTTGTTGCTTTTGGATACATCATGCATATATGCTGGGTGCCATCAGACCCCCTTAACCCCCCGGTGGCCCATCTTAACCCCCCCTTGGCGAACGGGGCGCAATTAAATCGATATTACGCGAGCCTGAGCCTGAAGCCTGCCTAATTGCGGATGACACGAAATTGTTTGCGCTATAACAATAAAGCAAAGCGCACCACCTCCACCGCCTCACTTGAACCCCCCCACCCATCTCTTCACCACGCCCTTTTGGCACCTCTAATATACAGTAGATCAGAGGCGCACGTAGGAATTAAATATGGGCGTTTTATGACTGCTTAATTTTTAAAACATTTACAATAATATCTAGATATAAAAAAATATATTGCTTTTTATCTATATAAATATAATTGTAAGCTTTTATTGTAATAAAAAAACATTTATATCTACGTATTTCTATAAATAAAATTAAAATAACCTTAAAATCGATTTTATTTATATACAACGTTTTAAGCAATTTAAAGAAAGGTCAGTTTAATAAATACAAATTTAATCCTTTTAATTTTAATGAAGAGTAGAGTAATAAAAAAATAAAACACGATTAAAGAAATTTAAGAGGTTTGTGACTGGGGGTATATATTAATTTATATATACTATGTTTAAGAGATTCATGTACTCATATTTATTATTGTACTAACAGAACTAGAGCAATAATCTTTGAAGGATTGCTTTAAAAATAATAAATAAACAAAAACCCCACCCCTGCCTACGCCTATGCTTTCGCCCCCGCGAGTAAAGTTCAAACGATGGCCTTTCTTGACCCGCAGACCAAGTGCTCAACAATATTTACACTAGGTGGCGCTGCGAAGTGATTGAGCGTTGTGAAATTCTAATTGGAAATTGATTCAATTGGAATCCAGCGAATTCCTGCGAATGAACGAGTTAACTGTGTAATTAACTCCAGGGGAAATATTTCATTACTGGACCATCAGCTGCTTGTTGGCTTAAATAGTTACGCCAAGTGCGTTAATTAATTACGAAATTTTGCATAAAGTATTTGCCTATCTCTGCCTGTTTTAGTTCATTTTTAATTATCAATCAGTCTTTGATATATTTTGTTTGATTTTAGTTAACATTTTAAACAGATTTGTAATTTAATTTATTTACTTGAATTTTATATAATAAATCAAAATTTATAAAGAATTTTTTACAAGTAAAAGGGTTTTAAGTAAATGTTTTCAAATGTTTATAATTTTCTTGTTTAAGTGTTTTGGCTTAGGTAAACATATCTTTCGCATTCTCTTTATTCAGTGTATTCCCTTGAAGGAAATTTGGGAAAAAGGGACGAGGTCCTGAGCGATTTACCAAAAGGCTCACAAAATGAGTTTAAATTCCCCAAATGCGCTTAGGTACAAATTTTCTTTCCCCCCACCCAAAAAAAAAACAACGAAAAGAGGAGAAAAACGGAAAATGGAAAACAATTTAAAGCGTTTAAGCAAAGTACGGAAAAATAAAGAATGGAAAAGAGTGAGGGGGGTAATTGCATGTGTGTGCGTGTCTATTCATGTGCAACAAGGCGCCTGCTGTCGTGGGAATTTAGGGGGGGGTTCAGGGGTTTCAGGGGGAGGGCGGTAAGACAAGGCGCCCAAGCGGACATGTGTTTATCATTTTTGTAGTATTTTTTGTGTTATTGTTGCAAGGAGGCGAATGCAGCGCAGCCTTCCGCCTTCTGCTGTATAATAAACAATTTCTTTTTTTAACACATACGGCACACAGAGATACAGAAATACACACAGACATGGGCCCAAGTGGAGCAACTTTTACATGGGAATGGCAGCAACTGCAGCGACTATCGAATGAATCATTCACGCAGTAATGAATACGGCCACACTGGCAAAATTCATTTTTTGCTTTATATTTGAAAGGCATTTGAAGCTTTGATTTATTCAAGTGATACGGATATTTTTATTTGACAGCTTGAAACGAAAAAAATGGTGTGACCATGCTATATCTGTTTTTCACTTTTTTTGCACAGTGTTATTAACTATTATTTTATCTTAAATAAAATTTACTTGTGTTTTCCAATTTGTTTTTACAAAAAATCGATTCTTTTTATTATTTTTGACAATTTTGTTCTGTATTATTTGTATGTTAAAATGGAAATTTAGCCGAAAAGGCAACATTCTAAGCTTGCCCTTTATGGCATTTGATGTTTTCCTATCTCTCCTACAGTCTATTTGCTCGTATTATTATTATGAATATTAAGTTGTTCTTTACTCCTGCGGTTGTTGTTCCTTCGGCTTCATCCCTTTTGTGTGTGGTGGCAGCACAAAATGGCATTAAATTAAATAAAGACCCGTATTAGGCATGCCCATGAGAGGAAGGGGGGACGGGGGGCTAAAAGGGCAGGGGGGGTCGAGAGTTGAGCGAGGTTACGCCCCTCGGTTAAGGTGGAATAGTCTCTCCTATATGCCATGGATCAATAATGGGCACAAAGTTCCCCAACCAGTAGCAACAAATAAAAAAAGGGTTAGACCAAGGAGGGATTTTCTAATGCTTTTATGCACAGCAAAAAAAAAATAATTAATATTTGCTTTTAATAACCTTAAGGATATAAGAAAAATAGAATTGATTTAATCGTTAATGCGTAGTGTGACCTTGCATGCTTTTAAGTACTAGCAGTGTGACCATGTATCGTGTGTAGGACTTTTGCTTTTCTTTTGTGGTAAGGGTGATATCAATTTTTTTATTAACGCTCCATTTGTATCCTATTTTTTGTTGCAGTGTAGACTAGGGGTGACTTAGGGGTCGGGGGTTGCTATTATTGCTGTTGCAGTACAGTTAAGTCAATTTTACAGCAGCAATAACAACAATAAATGGCAACAATGTGCACTAAATTGTGCAAAACTTCGTTGCGTTTTCTGTTTCTGTTTCGGTTTCGGTTTTAGCTTTTGTTTTGCTTAGTTTCGATTTTCCCCCCGTTTTTGTTATTGGCTCCACAACTTCTTCTTCCTCGCTTTTTCCCATGTTTGCCCTGTCATCAATTAGGACATGCATTCGGTTTTTCTATTTTTCTGCACTTTTTTTTGTTCTTGTACGATTTGTTTATTCTTGTTGCTTTTCTTTTTTCAAAATGATTTGGTGCAGTTGAATAACAGAAAATTCTGCATATATTTCAGCGCCATGTGGCTAAATATAAAAAGTGAGTAAAAATTATACAAAAAATAAATTTAAATTTAATGAAATTTTTGTTTTAAAATGTGTATATATATTTCCCATTTTTATCGAACTTGTTCGACACATCCATATTAAATTTTAATTAAATTTAAAAAGAAATTATGCCCATTTAGACTTGAAAAATGTATTTCTTTATGTATATTTTGTTTCTGCATTGATAAATTCATTTTGGCATAATATTTCAATAATTTATTGATTAGTTATCTAGCTATAGCGCGCCTTCAATCAATTTGGAAATGCATTTTGTCCTTGCGCATGAGTGGACCACGAGCTGCGGGGCAAGGACGTTCCAAGGGGGGTGGAGATGGGTGGCAGGGGGTGCACTTTTGGAGGGCAGTGCAACTGCACCGCCGACGATATTGGAAATGCAGTAAATAATAAAGTGCAATGGGTGCTGGGCGGGTTATATATTCCATATGACAAATATGCACTGTGAAAAAAATCCCAGCAAAATCAATAAACAAATAAAAATTAAATATATATATTTTTTTAATAATATTTGATAAATATAAAAGATTTAATTTTCAATGTTTTCACTTTTTGTGTGACCTTTTTATTGTGTGCTTTTATAATTCCCAACTACTTCTAGCGCTGGCTTAGCCGTAATTTAAACCTTGTTAACTTAATTTTCCAGTGCACACTCAACGTGGATAAGCAGGGCGGGGGGCGTGGCTCTATGCGGGCTTATGCAAATGTCGCGCAGCGATATCCACCAGCAAAAAATCGCGAAGAAAACAAAGGGAACCGAGAACAGAGAGGAGACGTGTGGAAAAAGAAATGAAAGAGAATTGTGCACTTGAAAAGCGGCCAAATCGATGTCAGCAGCAGAAATGCAAATAAAAAAAGAAAAAAAAGGCAAAGAAAAGAAAAGATGAACGGAAAATCGGCTGGATAAAGGCGAAAATAAAGGGAGGAAAATCCCGCTCCTTGGCAGTTTTTGAATGGTTCGCAGAAACTAAAATGGGAACAGCTCAGAAATGGATATGGTGAGCGGCGGGGATTGACGGAGTGCCGCGCAAGGATCTTGGTCCTCGGAAGGATGGCAGCGGGAAAGCCAGCGGGAAAAGCCGGCAAACGAAAGTTATGGGAGGTCAGCGAAAGGGAATTGTGGGCGATTTTCCCAGGATCTCCGCTAAGCTGTGGCCATCAAAGGAAAGTGGAAACTCGTAGGGGAAAATGGTGAATTGGCAGTACCAGAATTCCCATTTTTCCAAGTTCCACGCAACACATCGGGTGGCTCAAAAATTGCTTGGCTTCATACTTATAAGATTTATGTGGCAATTTCTAATCTTTGAACTTGACGTTAATTGAGCCGCCTTATCAGCAATGTTTTGGGTTTTGAATGCCTTATCGGCAATATTTTGGGTGATTTATTTTAAAAGCAGCATTTTGAAGTCAGTATGTTTTAATAGTTCTCTCTGAACAGTCATACAAATTCGAAATGCTGAAGCTGGCATATTTTTCCGTGCTGCTGCTCATTATCCTGGTGTCTCAAGGATCTGTGGCGGTTCAGCCTATGTTGGAGATTTCTATGCAAACCAAGTTGGATGCCCAACTTCTGGCGGTTCAGAAAAAGCTGCAGGATCAAAACTCAGCTAATTTTCTATATTTTGAGGCAAGACAACAAGCAACGGAGGCTAAAATTGAAGCCCAACTTAAGGAGCTTCAAACGCAAACTAAGAACCAACTTCTGTTGCTGGAGAACCAACAGTCGGCCTTTCAGAAAACCCTTCTCGAAACTCTTTCCACAATTAACAACAATATCTTCGATCCCAGATTTAAACGGATAGGCTCCAGATATTTCTATATCGAATATAATATTCGGAAATCCTGGGAGGAGGCTGCCGAAACATGTCATCAAATGGGCGGCTATCTGGCTGCTTTTAAAACCCAAGAGGAACTCGCAGCCATAATGCCGAAACTTAAGACTTGGTTCTGGTACTGGACTGGCATCAGGCATTTGAAGGAGGATGGCAGGCTCATATCTACGGCCTCCGGGAAGACAGCCACCGCTTTTAAATGGCGGGAGGGAGAGCCCAGAAATGACGGTCCCTGCGTTCTACTAAATAACATTGAGATGATTGATTACCGTTGCACTTCTAAACAATACTTTATTTGCCAATCTGATAATGAAACATAAATACACGCTTTGTAAGTTGTACTCTATATATTTCTTTGTGAGTACAATTTTAAATAAAAGTATAAATTTTGTCTTGATTTAATAAAAAGCATTCTTTCAGCAGGAACTTGCAATTAAATGGGTGGTTATTTAGCGGCCAACCAAAACCAAAGGGAATGGTATAAAAATCCGAATAAGATACTCAAGAATTACTACTGTGTTAAGCCAAGGGTTTAAAATAAGGGAGATTTTGCGGAGAAACGGACAGACGGACAAGGCTAGACCGACTCTCCAAAGATGCTGATCAAGAATATATATTCTTTGTGGGATCGGAAACGACTCCTTTACTGCGTTGCAAACTTTGGACTGAAATCATAATACCCTATGCAAGGGTGGAAAAATTATTTCAATTTATAATTCAAGAAGTTACTTGGCAACTCGATTGTATGCAAAATTTCCCGGAATTTGTTGAACCTCCGAAAGCCTCAGCGATTACACCCCTTATCAGAACTTTTCAGTTTCTTTGTTTCAAAACACGCAGATTAATTTCAGTAGGTCTTGAAATTTCTCCTAGAGTGGTGGTGATACACTTTCGAAATGCTAAGGCTTGGTTATTTTTTTGTGTGGGTCCTTATTATCCTGAATGTACAAGGATTCGCGGAGAGTTCGCAGGACAGTGCGAGTGCGATGATGGATCTGATTTCCGAGACCAATTCTAAGTTGGAAAGGATCCACGGCGAGCAGCAGTCCATCCAGATGAAACTCCTGGCAGTTCAGTCGACGGTGGAGGCCCAAAGGATCACAGTGCAGAACTCTTTGAAGGACGTCATCACAAAAGAAGAGCTCGGGGCGACTCTCAATGAGACCCAAAGACAACTTATGGCGGAGAATGCAGAATTCAAGAACCTTCTTCACCTGCTGCGCACAAAAATAGATGAGCAGGAAACCAAGCTGGATGCCCTTTTGGAATCGAAAGAGGACTTCGTGGCGAGATTCAACGATACGGCAGCTCAATTGCAGACGATACTCAGCATAGTGGCCAAAAAAGAATACAATCCTGTGGAAGCCCCATCGACCAACTATTCGAAGCCCATCCCCGAGCAGTTCGAGAAAATTGGCACAAGGTATTTCTATATTGAGAGGAATCTTAAGAAAAATTGGTTTGAAGCCGCAGCCACTTGCCACCAGATGGGCGGCTATTTAGCGGGCATTAAAAGCGAAGAGGAATTGCTCACGATCAAAACCGAACTGAAAGAGGGTTCTTGGTACTGGCTTGGCATCAACGATCTGATGACCGCCGGTCAATTCTTATCAGTTGCCTCTGGAAAGCCAGCTGAAATCTTGGCGTGGAGGTCCGATAGTCCGAATAACGAGAGGAGGTGCGTTCAACTACAAACAAGAGAGAACGCTATAGTCGGGTTGGTGTCCCGACTATCTAATACCCGTCACTCAGCTAAAGGGAGTGCGAACGCTGTGTCGGGTTTGTGTCCCGACTAATAATCGTAACTCAGCTAAAGGGAGTGCGAGGGAGATAGATATAGAAATTTTGATTGCGTATAACTTTTTAATGAATGGTCCGATTTGAAAAATGTCTTCTACATTTCGATAGGTATAAATATACACAACAAAATTGCATTTTTACTTTTCGGAAATCTTTAAAGATGTGGGCGCAGGACCCATTTTAAAATCGTTAATGGGCGATTGTGGGCGTTAGAGGGGGCGTGGCGCTCGGCCAAAATAAACTTGCGCTGCGTAGGAAGCCAAAGAATATGTGTGGGAAATCTCAACATTCTAGCTTTTGTAGTTTCCGAGATCTCAGCGTTCATACAGACAGACAGACGGACAGACAGACGGACAGACGGACAGACGGACAGACGGACATGGCTAGATCGACTCGGCTAGTGACCCTGATCAAGAATATATATACTTTATGGGGTCGGAAACGCTTCCTTCTAGCTGTTACATACTTTTGCACGAATCTAGTATACCCTTTTACTCTACGAGTAACGGGTATAAAAATACGAAACGTACAACAAATGAGTGATTGGCCCTGTACTGATAAGGTTTTTTTCATTTGTCAGGCTGACAGCGATATATAAACTATACAAAAATAACGATAAAAATTGAACATTTCTTTACTGTTTGCATACAAAAATTATTATTATTATATCAAAAAATTAAAAAGTTTGTAACAAGAAAATACAAGTAAATTGTGTTTTTTTTAACTGGCTCTTTTTGTAATAAATATTTTATTTATGTCCTTTGTATAAACTATCATGAATAAATATTGCATACAATAAATTATAAACTGAGCTATTGACAACATATTTATACAATTTATTCTCCAATTTTTCTCTTTCAGATGGCAATAATTTCAGAGTTATAAAATTGTTCTTTATAATATCCCAAGGACAGTTCCTCGAAACATTTTTTCTATTACTTCAGCTTGTTTAGCGATCCCAAAAAAAATCAAAAAAATATGTATTCCAACAGTATAAATTTTTAGAACAAATCTATAAAGATTTTCCCATTTGTGTTGGGGTAAAAAAAAAAGAAATTCAGGAGTGGGTGTGTTGGGTGGGTGCGTTGTTGCCAACGTTAATTGCGGCAATTAAGGACTCGTTCCCCTTGGATGTCCTTGCCGGTGTATTGTTCCCCGTGCCAAAGTCCTCCCCTCCGCTCTCCCGCCCCCTTGGCCGTTTCATTCCATTCCGTTTGTTCTATAAATGTTTTAAACATTTTAATTAGTTTTAATAAACGGCCTCGGGAGGTCGCTGGGTGGGGAAAACTGTTTGAAGTGGCCCCGACTTCGTCAACAGTTTCGTGTCAGGTGCAGGTCCACTCATTCTCCCCCTCATTCGCACTCGGGGCCTTTTCCCCTATTTTTCCCTCCGCATTTTCCCTCATTTTCCTCGGCACACACGGCTTGACAATGAATTTTCGTGAAAAGGTCGTCGCCCACTTTTTTTTTCTTTATTTCCTTCCGCTTTGTTTGATTCTTTTGTGAGAGCTTTTCCAGCTGCCGCTGGTCCGCTGAATGGTCAGACTTGCCAACAGTCGCGGTTAAAAGAGTACTATTCATTCAAAAGATCTTTGAAAATGCGTTACTCGATTGATTACTTCAAGTGGAGATGGTGAAAACTATCGATGAGTCAATATGAGCAGGATATTAATATCGATATTTTCACATAGTTTTAATAAATTAATTATTTTTTCTACAATTTATTATGTTATGACGGCTATAGATAATATAGTTTATAATCAAATATATTAGTTTATTTTACAAAATTTTTTTTGTAATTATTTTTGTCAATTTATAAAAACAAATTAAATAAGTGAACAAAAATTCTTTATTTTCTTTATTTGGGCTTTCAATAGATTTTTTTTTATAAATTTGTAAGATATTTCTAGTAAATATACTATTTCTATAATAAAATAGAATAGTTTATTATAAAAAAATTACGTTAAATTTTTAAATAAATTTACTAAATTTTGTGATTGTAAGAATTTTTATTTGATATTTTTGTGCTATTATCCGAGCCACATCTGTGGGTCAAGTGTGTGTGCGAGTGTGTTTGTGCGCAGACAACGAGGTGTATGCGTAATGTTTAGTTGGCGGTCGCTCTTAACCCCCTAACGCCCCGCGTTAACCCCACGCCGGCTTCTCGGTTTTGGTTTTCGGTTTTCGGTTCTGTTTTCTGGTCGCTGCGGTCTCTGCGAAATTTCCGCCTGTGAACTTTAGTTCACTTTTTGGGTTGCGTGTTGCCAGTGCATTGTTTTCCCGTACTAAAGTACGCCCCTCTCTTTCCAACTGGCATGCCCCATCTCTCTCTCTCTCTCTATCTCTAGCTAATATTCGCTATAGCCGTCTCTATCGTGTGTTTGTGATTGGGTCTTGCGGCCGAGCACTAAATAAGTTGACAAGACTGCGGTTCTCGGACATTTTGGCGGGCTGGAAGGGTTGAAAGGGGTCACATGAGGGGTTCGCAAAGGTCGCCAAGCCTCAAAACGCTTGAATTTCGCAAATTTACCAATTTGGAAAAGGTTAGGGCCCCGGGTTAATTTCGGGTTCAATCGAGGGCCGCCAGTGGGCGTTGCGGTTTAAATCAAAGTCGAGTGTGTCCCAAATATTTAGCATTGCTCTCTAAAGGTAAATGGCTTTATTTAAATCTGACTTGGCTTAAACTTTAATTTTCATATGAGTTGTATTTATACCCGTTACTCGTAGAGTAAAAGGGTATATTAGATTCGTGCAAAAGTATGTAACAGGTAGAAGGAAGCGTTTCCGACCCTATAAACTATATATATTCTTGATCAGGATCACTAGCCGAGTCGATCTAGCCATGTCCGTCTGTCCGTCTGTCCGTCTGTCCGTCTGTCCGTCTGTCCGTCTGTCCGTCTGTCTGTCCGTCTGTCTGTCTGTATGAACGCTGAGATCTCGGAAACTACAAAAGCTAGAAGGTTGAGATTTCCCACACATATTCTTTGGCTTCCTACGCAGCGCAAGTTTATTTTAGCCGAGCGCCACGCCCCCTCTAACGCCCACAATCGCCCACTAAGGATTTTAAAATGGGTCCTGCGCCCACACCTTTTAAGATTTCCGAGAAGTATAAATGCAATTTTTTTGTGCATATTTATACCTATCGAAATGTAGAAGACATTTTTCAAATCGGACCATTCATTAAAAAGTTATACGCAATCCAAATTTCTATATCTATCTCCCTCGCACTCCCTTTAGCTGAGTTACGATTATTAGTCGGGACACCAACCCGCGTACAGCGTTCGCACTCCCATTAGCTGAGTGACGGGTATTAGATAGTCGGGACACGAACCCGACTATAGCGTTCTCTCTTGTTTTTGTTTATGTTAAATCCGAGCAACTCCTAACCAGCTTTATAAACCGACTTTAATGCCGTTTCTTGGGCGCCTCAAAGAATTAAGTATCCGCACTGTAGACCCGCAAAACTTGCAGATAAGAAGTACTGGAATACAGGAATAAGTACAAAGAAAAATATACAAGAAATGCTAAATAAATAAATAAATAATGAAAAATAACGATAAAAAATATACCAAACTTCATGCTATATTTTTGCAGGCCCAACCAAAAAAAAAAAAGAAAAGAAAAACCATTTGCTGTCAACGCGGCGGTCGCGACAGGAAGACGATTTGCAGCCATTTGTCATGTTGAGGGCCATCGAGAGGGGGTTGGGTTGTTTGGATGCAGGATTCGGGATTCGGGGTCCAGGGGGCACAGGATGCAGGGGCGTGGAAGGTCGAAGGGGGGCCTTGGCTGCCGCGGAAGTGCTGCCGAAAAATAAAATATATATCGGAGGGGAAGGGAAATCGTTTGTTGTTGTTATTTGGTTCCATTTCTCGCTGTTGTCGAATTGAGAGGGCGATTTCGAGGGGGGTGATGGGGAGGGGTTGGCTGGTTTCCAGGAGCCTTTGGTGGGCGCTTTGGAGGGGGGTACTTGAATATCCAAGAGAAGCTGTGTCAGTTTTTTTTCGGGCAGGGCTTTCGGAACGGGGAGTGTTAAAATATATAAGCAGTAAATAAGCTTAAAAGCCGCGTGGGCGGGCTACAGCTTCTGCTTTTTGGGGCCACAGTGAACACTCGCTAAATACAATAAGGGAAAAAAATTTACAAAATATCAGATGGATATGCGCAGGTCAATTTTATATTTTTAAAGATCAAGTCATTCATCTCTATTTGTAATGAATAAAGGTTGTATTTATTTTATTTTGCATTATTTTTTTAAAAATTGTATGAAATAAAAATATTTACATTACATTATAAATTTGTCATTAATAATATAGAATTTTTTTTGATATGAAATAAGATAAAAGATCTGTTTTTATATTATTTTATTTTATTTTATTTTGCAAGTCAGCGATATCCAATTTGCGCTGTACTTATTGTTTGGCTGTTTTTTGAAATTTATGCGCCTTGATTCCTCACACATGCAAAAACCTCTCTCAACGCCACCAGTACACTTTACATTTCAAACTGTTGGCAATTGCAGTACCAAAAAAAGTTAAAAAAAAAGGAACGAGAAGAAAATCAAACAAAAAATGAAAGAAAGAGGGAAAAGTACTCTTTTCCATGTTGTAAATTTCATTTTAAAGTCGCAGCGCGAAAAGTTTGTCAGAAAAAAAGAAATCACTGCCCCCATTTTCCTCATCCTTTTCTTCCTTTCTCCCCCACGACTTTTCCTTCATCTTACCCTTGATTTTTATGGCTTTGCTTTTGCTGTTTGAGTTTTGTTCGAGTGTAGGTTTTTATTTATTTTTTGGCATGTGTGTGTGGGAGATTTTGAGTGCATATATGTTTGAGTTTTGTTTCAACAATTTATTCAAATTGAGTTTCGCCGACTGCCGG